CATGGTGTCAAAATCCCCGTGAAGCAGCCAAACATATCATGGCATATGGCTGGGGGACTGTGCCCTTAACCTGCATCTGATCCAGTGATAGGCTGAGATCCCACATATCACATTCAGCCTGTCCACATGTAGAGCAAGTACACTACATGTACACTACATGATGAGCAGGTACATATGCAGAGCCTTGTATACCTGTCATTCAAAATATAAACACAAGCAGTATTAGAGTAGGTCAGTGCACTGTCACTGGTAGACTATTCAAAGATGTTTTGTTTGTCACGATGACAAGCTTCAGTTTAAGTTTGAGTCCAGTGTTCATGTGATAGAAACCTGACCTCACTAAGGGTCAACGTGTTTAAATCCTTGCTACACAGTAAAGCCCCTTTTCAATTCTACGATCCTAAACACATAACCACATAATGACACCAAATAATGCTTCCGTATCAAGCTGACACTAATAACATAGGACACAATTACACTTGTAGAATAAAAATACAACACTAATAAATTATCCGTGTATTGTCAGTTCTTGGTCTAAATCACAACAGATTGATAACAAAAAAGTTAATACTTTAAATGCTCTGGATGTTAATCCAAGCTGACTGACTAGTTTGCACGTTAAAAACCCTTCTGAAAAACCAGCATAGACCAGCTTAAGATGGATGCTGGGCTATGCTGGTTTTAGCTGGTCTATGCTGGTTTTAGCTGGTCTATGCTGGTGAAGCTGGTATTTATGCTGGTCTACCAGCAGTCTTACTGGCGAAACTGAAACAGACACAGACAGACAGAGAGGGCGGGACACGGGGGAACGGCGAGACGGCAGTGGTTGAAACAAAGCGATATAAAACATGGTTTTGACTGGCACTAACGTAGCGTCCACACGGCGGCGTGTGTTGAAGCTTGCCGGTGGGCGTGTCTGAAACTCGACCAACAACCAATCACATGAATCTCCGCCCCGGACACACAAGCACGCGGTTTGATTGGCTAGAACTTGTACTGGCATATGATTTGATTGGCTGACGCTTCCGTCGAAGCTTCAAAATGTGAACTTTTCTCAACTTTTGAAGCGAGCAACGCGAAGCGACGGAACCACAATGCAGTTCGGCAAAGCGTGACGTCACCCCATTCAAAGTGAATGGGAAGAAGCATTGAAGCTTCAACGCACGCCGCCGTGTGGACGGGCCGTAACAGTGTACGTTAATTTAGCAACTTAATGCTTTACTGCTGAATAAACCCTATATTGCTAGTGATTTTATTAAAACTATGATTTGCATTCTTTTTGATTCCAATTACAATACTATTTTTGTTATAATTGTAAAACACATCTTAACATCCATCAGCAATCAATAAAACAAATCCTCCAACACAAAATAGAAGACATCTGGACCTATTCTATTTCTTTTTATACAACAGCATCTATTGGGACTGCTCATTGATGTCATCAAGAGCCATTGAGTCTACCTTTTGTAGTCAGCCTCTCAGAATGTTTAGCATTTCTTTGTCTCTTAACACTCCTATAATAATTTGTTTTTTTATTGTTGATATTGTTTTGTTCTTTATTTTTGTTGTGAGAATCACTTTGCAATTGTGTAAGTGCTATATAAATAGTTATAATGAAGCTTAGCACAAGTTCAATGAGGAAGACCAATACCCCCTGGTGTTACACGTCACTTCAATCTCCTCTTCCATTAAGTAATCAGGGGCGTTACTCCCCAGCTAGCCAATCATCGCACCTGCTAACCCCTTTAAATCTGCTCTTCCCTCTCTGTCAGCTGTCATTTCAGGTGTCAACGCACAACCCTCCTCCACCCCTTCGCCTCCTGTCTCCTAATTCAGGGCCAAGCTAATCCTTCTTCCTTCAGACCAGACCGAACCACTTATCACCACCACCAGTGTCTAGACCCCGGGGGGGTTCATCGGAGCGGTTTTCCCCTCCTGAATGATCATCCTACAAACCGGGGCCTAATCTCCAAACATCAGTTAATTCATTGTTGTAATCTGTCAATCATCATTTCTTATACCATGTGTCCCGGTAATAAACATGTATTTCATACATCACGTCTCTCCTGATTGAACTAATATTATTGTTGTTACCATCATTACTATTATTAATAATGTTTTCTTTGTTTTCTTTATTCATCGCTGCAGAAAGGATCATGCCAGCCCACATCAGACACCTGATCAAGAACTTGTGAATCTTTAGGCAGAAAATATGAAAACACCTGTTCAAAGTTCCAGTTCCCTGTACATGAAACCATGCCTGTGCTCTGTTCCACATGTCTTCAGTCAGTCCTGGACCCCATGACTCGGACACTAGTTCTACCAAGGCTCATTAGAGGTAAGCATGGTAGGAGAGGAGTGGAGTTATCTTTGTATTTAGGCTGCAAGTCGACACAGGTGATCAAATGCTGATGCTAATGATGATCCGATTCATTTGATATTGATTGTCTGCCAATACCGAATCCTGATCCGATTCTTCTATTTCCCAGATAATACAGCTGCACCGTGAACACTAGCTCTATTTGTTTTTGCCATTGTAATTCACCATAAGCAATTGTTGACTGTAACGTCTATCTATGCCAACCAACTGTAATTTGTAATGTATTATACTTTAACGGTCAAGTTCTGGCAACCACAGCAGCCCACATGTTAACGTAAAATGTCAAGTTTTATTTTTACAGTGTACTTATATCTGTACATTTATTTTCAGTTTGCTTCAAGAAGTGGCTTCAGCAGACAGAAGTGCAGGCCAGATTGGGAAAGGCTGGACGCTACACAACGGGAAACATTATGGACATGAACAAGGAAAAACAAAAAACACTTTCTTTGTTGCCTTTTTCTAATCATACATAGTGTTACTGTTTTTGTTACCATTTAAATATTGAATTATATGTATTACTTTTATTTTAAATCGAATGCACCGGTTTTAGATAATATATTTATTTTTGATGTATAGGTTGATTTGCAGGTTGGTTGTTATTTGTATAATTAGTGTATTGTTTCTGTGTATTTTATTATATTAACTAGCTATTTATTAAATTAAAATACTGTTATGAACACTATACAATGTCTTTATTTTGGTAGATACCAGAATACATGACACAATGAATCTTGGTAATATATTTATGTTCTCTGGTTTAAATAATCATACCAGTATTTAAACAATGTATGCTGGTCACCTGGGCCAGCTAAAGTGTCCAAAACCCCTCTAAACCAGCCAACCTATCGACTGGCTGGTCAACTTAGCTGTTTTTTTCAGCAGGGTATAGTAAACATACTTCAAGTCTAAGGATACGTTTAATGACAGGCAGTGGTGGAAGAAGTAGCTATTTATTATTACTTTATACAGGGCTGCCAACATTTGAGTTCAGCTTGGAGTGAGATTTTTTTTTGGTGAACCGAAAAAATAAACGTTCATGTGTACAGTGTTACAAATGTATTGAACATGTACAAACTAGGGTTTCCCATTAATGTACCGGGCGCTACAGTGGAACACGCACATACACAGTGTACCCGCGACTCTTACAATGAAGGCTCGATAATCAGCTCACAGCATATCAAATAGCATATAGGTGTAAGCAGAGGTAAAGTGCTATTTTATAAGTGGGGGGGGTTTTCACCTTCTCTAGGGGGGTCCGGGGGGGATTTTTTTTTAAATATTGAAGTTAAATGCATCAACCTGGTGCACTTTGAGAGCAAAATGAATTTATGGTAAACAGATTTTCTTTTTCTTTATGGATATTTTACAAATCACTCACCTTTTAAACTGTATTCTTGTTTTACTGTTATATAGTATTTCATAACTGTTTTTCATTTATTCTCATAAATGGTGACCAAAACGTTTGAGACCCACTGAGATAACTAGACTTAAGTTAACTATCTAAACACTCAGAGTCCCTTACCTCACTGAGCTGTAGTTATCTCTCTCAGTCTGACAGGACAGAGCTTTCCCTCTCCTTGTTTTAGAAACAGCTTTTAATATCGTTAGCGCAGCTAGCTAACCAGATGCTAACAACAACAATGCAAATAGTGAGTTTGGTAGAAATATACTGTATAATAGTAAAGTTATTTAAGATGATGCCATATTTATTGAAGATTTTACATTATAAATATTCCCCAAAATTATTCAAAAGCATATTCTTCCAAACTCCTTGCTGTAGTATGACACACAGGAGACTATTGATGTGTGTAGTGAGTTTGGTAGTAATGAGCTGTATAATAGTGATTGAATATTATTGTATTCTCTTTTTTCGGAGTTGCACTTTGCAGACGGTCCCTGAGCACTCGTTTCTTCTCCGGCTGCGGATAGAGACCAATGTAATGTGTCCAGCTTGGAGGACGGCGCGTATTGGCTTTTTTTGATCAAAATGTGATTGTGGTTCGTTGTCAACCTTACCACGCTACTTAGGAGACGTCATTTGTGTCTGAATAACGTTTTGTTCATGAGTTATTGATCCGTGAAATCAGAATCTCCCAATATCGTTCCAACTTTACTGAACTAGGCTATATAGGCTGCTGGGTATCTTGTGAATTGACTGAAGGTATAACTAAAGTTACAGTATTAATGTGTTTAATATAGTTCATATCATTAATCCAAACCTGCCTAATGACTATAACTATATGTATTAAATAAATTAAGTGGAGGGTTAGGGTTAAGCACCATATTTACCTCAGATGTGGTGGGAGTAATAATAATACTAATAGATTAATTTTGTTAGCGCTTTTACAGGTGCTCAAAGACGCTTTAGTGTTTATGTTATTCAAATTGATACATTGCAGTACTTGATTAAATGTACTTAATTACTTTACACTACTGATGTCAAGTCCTACTTTTCCAGTATAATGATTTGGTAAACACACACAATGCTCATAGGTTTTAAATTATGTTACATAACTTTAACTTTTATGATTAAAGTAGCCTACTAACTGGGCTGAAAGTGATCTGAGTGGGGTCTATCCTCTACTCCCTGTTTATAACAAGTGTCAGGTGACCTCGGTACCTTCAATGCGCACTTCTCTCCCGTCTTCTTGTTGAAACACTGAAGGACTTTTCCATTGATTCCTAATCCCAGAACCTGAGTGGAGATTTTATAATCGTCTGTCACCGCGTGCCGCTTTATGTCCACTTTGGGGTGAACGGGCATGGGGAAGTGAGTGGACTCAGCGTCGGGGGGAAAGGCGAGGGAGTCCTGCTCTGCCTCAGCCTTTGGCGCTTCCACTGGCTTCTCCTCTTCGTTTCCATTTTGGAGCATGTTCCGACACCGGCTTGTTGTTACCGGCGGTGCTCCGGGGAGGAAAGCGTGAGTAATTCACCAAAGAAATGCGATGACGTCTGAGCGGAGTCCTGGAGCGTCCTGTTGTCCTGCACCGCGGCCAGGGATGGACCCACACAAACTCCACTGTATCTACAAAAAAGCTTTAAAACCAATTTGTTTCAACTACACAACTACTGTTTCTCTCTCTGAACTGATATAACCGCCTTTTTTTTCTTTAAAAAAAACTATGCTGTCAACCGGTCTGGCCTGTTTCTTCAGAGAAATCCAGATATTTCTAATAATTTGAATGTCATAGAAATATAATCGAGTCTTTAGTCTTTGAGCAGTGGTGAAGATATTCTGCTGATCTCAGCTGCCCGTTGATCTGGAGTCCTCCAGTTGTGTTCACATGGCCAGCCACTGTCACTGTTTGTTTAAGCACCACCCTCCCACTGTTAAGTCATATTTCTCAACCTGCCCAGTGTGGAAGTCTTAAAGGAGCACGACGTGTATTCAGTTCAGTGAGCACTGTGGAGACCAGCAGGGAAAAGCTCATTTTGGCTTATAATGAGAGAGATTTAGAACCAAATGTACCTATGGAGGATGTATGGTCCAGGATTCCTTTTAGCCAAGTGACTCAAAGTAAATAATCTTACATAACAATATATATATACATTTAATGGCATTGTGAAAAACAGTTTATGACAGAGAGTTTAAATGAGCTCATTTTAATGACAAAGTGCAAAGTGTCGGTTTGACCATAACTGCAATTATAATTGTAGTGAGCCGTGAAACAATACAGTTTTTTACAGGTGTTTTTGTGTATGAATAAGAGTGTGTGTATTCAGTAGTCCAGTGCACAGATGAGGGCGACTCCCCGTTTGATCCAGTGTCTCTGACTCTGATCTGTAGGCACCTCCACTGCCATCACATAGTTGGTGGAATGACCGGTGGTAGACAGAGTCCCTACAAAAGCACACAAAAGCAGTTTCAGACATAAGGACATTTACATTAAGTGTTTTTCCATCCCAGCACTGAGTTTAGGTGTTTCTGGGACGTCTGAAGTGCCAGCACAAGGTGTTGGCTACGTGCTGCGGGTGGAAAATACAGAGCAGCACTTTCAGACGCTTCGTGAAACAAGACACTAACTGGAGTCTATTTTGGGTGAGTAATAAAACCACCAAAAAGGAGATACACACAAACACTAGAGTGAGCTGCCCAACATAGACACTCTGAAAACACCGAGAAAGGATTCAATTGATGTATTTCCTTTACTAAAAAAACACATTTAATATATCAACTTGTGACCCATGCGTTATATAATCTTACAATAATAAATGTAGTCAGTTGGGCTTCCTCAACCTGTTAAGTACGGAAAAGCTGCCTCCTCCCTTTCAGATTTTGATAGGGTAGAAACAGATTATGGGTTACATAATAATACAAAGGTAATTCCTGGACTTAAAACTCTCGGCCGATCCCCTTTGTAATAAAAAAGGGAGAGTTATATAGAGAATACATTTAGATCAGGGGAAATGACAATAATTCGACACCCCCCCCCCCCAACCCCATCCCTTATGTTATAGTTCTGTTTTGTTTGTGTGCGTAAATATACAATACAATTGAAATAATAATGTAGTCTAGAGGATCCTGTGTGTACTGACCGGCCCGTGTGAGGGTCTTATAGATGGGGCAGATGTAGACCCCCGAGGTGGGGGCTTTGCGGTTGGGTTCGGGGATCAGCCTGATCAGAACCATCTCTGTGTAGAGCTCCTTGGGCCTGCATTCAGTGATTTGACCCGCTTCACTATCCCAACGAGCGCCCTCTACGAAGAGACCGTGGATGTAGCAGCCTGTGTCTGGCTTCTCTGTTATCTCTGACGCCAACTTCTCTATCACCTGATGGGAAGAAGGGATTACAAAAGAGATGAACTAAAGTATATCAGGGACATTGTAGGTGGGCCATTGAGCTTTATTCTCACAAATGTATGACAAGAGAATATTCATGTTTATTTTCTCATAAAAAACGATTGTAATCTATTGAGTTTTTTGTCGTATTATTACCCCATCCAAACTCTGTTATTTTAATTTGTTTGAACCTAGGAGTGTCGTTATATACCATCGTAACAGTCAGCAAAAAATAAATAAATATATATATTTTTGAAATATTATGAAATTGACCATACGATGATATTCAAACGCGGTCAGTTTAGAGTGGGAAAGCGTAATCCATTAGAATCAGAATATTGTATTTACCCCGGGGGAAATTGTGTCTTGTTACAGTTGCTCCATTTGAACCCTTAGATGCACGAGTGACTGACTGAGTGACTACACTCTTCCATAAGTGGGTCAAAAAGGACCCATGTTAGAATAATATGTGTTTGTATGCCCTTTTTGTCATTTTGGTTAAGAAAAATCACTTGTATAATGTTTAGTATTATATTTTGGTTCACACTAGAAATATTTTATATTACATCTTTCACTATTATTTTTTTACATTTTGAAAAAAAACGTTTTCCCATAGGACTCCATAGAAAATGCATGCAGGTCATTTTTGACCCACTTATGGAAGCTTGGGGTAGTAATACAAAAACTACAATTTCTTAAAATGTAAATTAAAATGTTGAATGGCTTGATATCCAAAACATGTTTTTTGAGGAATAGCTGGAATATGAAATGATAAAACATTTTTTAATTACAAAGATACTTCAAGAAAACCACCTCACCGGGTTAAAAAATACCCACTTATGCATCTAAGGGTTAAAATGAAATACAAATAAAAGATACATGAAAATTGAAAAATAAACATAAGAAGTTTAAGTAAGAATGTGCAAAAAAAAAAATGAAAAAACGTAAAAAAAAGATCAAATTAAATAAAACAGTATACAAATATTTATATAAACAAAAACAGTTGAGTAAAAATGTGCACATTGTTTAACAGTATATAGTATATTAAGATTTGGTGTGTTTGTACTGCATGTAGTGCTGTAGTTTAGCTAGTAGTGAAACAATAGTTGCAAAAACACTGTCAGACAAACATCTTACTGTCTGACCTCAAAGTCAAATCCAATTGTGTCGATGGAGATGCCAGAGCGGCGGGCGTAGTTCTGGAGCGTTCCTGTGAGGAAAGCCTGCGGGAAGAAGAAGCCGCTAATCCAGAAAACAGGTGGAATGCCATCACAGATCCATTTCTGCAGGAAATTGATCCTCTGAATCAGGTCTGACACCCAGGATGCCAGAGGCTTCAGGGACGGGTAGGCCTGGAGGGAGGGAGACACATGGCCCGTCAAAGAACGCCATGTGTATTCTTAGAAAGCAGAGCCCGGAATTATTAGAGCAGGACAGAAATGTCAGCAGAAGTTCATCTGATTCCCTATTCACTGAAATCACTCCCACATGATCAAGTGTCACCCCCAACTGTACGACACACGCAGATGGATGTCGTAATATAATTTCAGTTAAAGGCCCATTGCTGTAATCTGTGCACGGGCAATACCTTCAAAACATCTAACACCTTTATCTTGACTCAGTGTGTGTCCCTTTAAAGTTATCCATATTGTCTACAGAGTTGCTTAATTTATAAAAACATCCCATCCATTGAAAGTGTGTCTGAGAAAACTATAGATTTGCTTACGATTTTGAAAGGTGATGACTTTAAATATTTTTTATGTTGAGCCATTCCTTTTGGGGGGGGGGGGTTCTGTTGTGTCTTTATTTTTGTAATGTTTTATTGTAATAAATTGATTATTGGCGAAAACTATTTCATTATGTATGAATATGTATGAAAAGAAATTAATAAAAACATAAAGAACAAAAAAAAACATCCCATCCAAACCAAGTGAGATCAAGAAGGTCAATAACCTGTGTGTGTGTGTGCGTGTGTGTGTGTGTGTGTGTGTGTGTGTGTGTGTGTGTGTGTGTGGGTGTGTGTGTGTGTGTGTGTGTTGTGTGTGTGTGTGTGTGTGTGTGTGTGTGTGTGTCTTGCCTTGGCTTTCCACATATCGGGCACCACATTGATGAACAGGCTGCTGGCCATGAGCTCCAGTTCAGACGACATCACCACCAAACCTTTCAGAGCCTTCACGATGTCTCCGAGACTCTGAGAGATGACTGCCAGCAGATTGTTGTATCTGAAAAAACACAAAGTTATCAAAGTACAACTGATTTAAACTGGCTATACCCGATTCAGTCCAATCAGTTATTCAAGTGTCATCCATCCACAATATTATCACAATTATTAATTAAATGGAGTTATGCAAAGACAAATACATAAACACTTCTAAGTCTTACGGGGGAGTAAAAGTGTAAAATAAATATCTAGGGAATTGACCCTGTAAATAATGTTCAACCTGTTGTTACACCCTGGTATAACTTAAATTACATTCTGCTGATACATCTGACAGATATACTTACAAATCTAAGTAGCAAACTTATCATTTCTAACAACGATGGAGTTGACAATAGTAAGACTAATTTCTTGATAAGTCCTAAGAAGTTGGAAACATGTTCATACCTTGTTTATAGCACTAGGAAAACAACACTTAATACAAATACTTTGACTATCCCATTCTATAAAAAGGAACATGGCTTATTTGTGAAAGGCTGATAAGATCCTTGACCATGACTCAGCGAGTTCAATGCCGGCTTGAGGCATTACTCTCTGCCTCTACTCTCTTCCCGAGCTCACACCCAGTTGAATGAATAAGAGCTGTTATTATTACAGTATGATTACACAGCTGTGTGTGAGG